GGCCAACTCCCAGGTGTGGTCCATCTGAGGGAGGCTGGGCCCCACCCAGCACACTCCCTTCCTCGCCATCCCAGTTCAGACCCTTCCCATGCAGGTAAGCCTCGGCGAGGACCAGGTGCTGGCATGAGGGGGGCTGGGCTTGGGCCTCGCAGAGCCACAGCCTGATGCCATCAGAGGACTGCCACCCTGCCTTGGTTTCCCCACTCCTAAGAAGGGTCCTGCCCTGGGGTTCTTGGTGGGGCCCTCCAACCCCAGCCTGTGCATGGGGCTGGGGAGAGGATGGGAAAGTCTCAGGCTGGGCCCGTGGCCCCTAATCAGCTCAGTCATCAGGCCCCAGCCAGAGAGGAAGCCCTGCGTGGTCTGGGCAGTTGGGGGGCTTTGCCCATCTGATCTGTGGTGGAGGCATGGGACTTGAGGACGGATGTGAGGACATCCTGGAGGGCAGGTTTTCACGGAGTCCTGAGCTATCTCCCCCAGGCTTCTGGGCCTCAGGAGGAGAACCCCAAAGGCTGGGCTCCCAGAGGCTCTCTGGCGATGTGTGAGCTGCAGGATCCAGGGAGGGCTTCCTGGAGAAGGTGGCAAGGACTCCATCCACTGCCTGGGTTTGCAGGGATGGCCGGGTCCCATCCTGTCCCTGTGTGGTCTGTGTCACTAAACTTGTTCCCTGGGCTGCAGTGTCCACATGGAGATACAGGAGCAGGTGGGGTCTTTGGTGGAGCCCTGTTCTCCTCCTCCTCACTCCCTGCCCAGGGCACAGGTGTGTGGCTGTTTCCCACCACCCTACAGGTCCAGGGCTCACTGCCCACTGTCCCTGCAGTGGGCAGACACTTGGGCCTCAGCTCATGGCTTCCTGCTTCAAACAGAGAGAAGGTCAGGTCCTTCAGGCCTTTCATCTCCTTTGTACCATTCCGCTTTATCATGCTCTGTACAATTAGATCTCAGTTCTTCATGGCACAGGGTTGAAAGCATTTTGAGGTGTATATAAATTTTATGAAATTATTAAAACATTAAATAGGGGGAAGTATTTGAACATTCACTAAAGGTATATAAATAGAAAATATAAACACGTGGTAAAATGCACAATACTGTTGGCCATGGCAAAAATGCAAATTACAAACACATGAGCTGAGCCTGGTGCCTTGCCTGTAATCCCAACAATTTAAGAGGCTGAGGCAGGAGGATCTCAAGTCTGACGCCAGCCTCAGCAACTCAACAGGACCTGTCTAAAAATAAAATCTGTAAAGGACTGGGGATGTATCTCAGCGGTAAAACGCTCCTGGTTCATCTCCAGTCCAAAAAAAAAAAAAAAAAGAGAGAGAGAGAGAGAAGATATGAGAAAAAGAAAGAAAAACAAACGGGTGGGATACATTGCATTTTCCCCCGGAAGTCCTGAAGCCACAGAGATTGCAGATCCCAGGTGCTGGCAAGAACACTGATCCCATCCACCACGGAGAGGGATGCACTCTCCGCAGTGCCTTCAAAGGATAATTCGGAAACCACATAAATGCAAACCTGCTGTAGGCCTTCGCAATTCCATTCGGTGTTTACCCAAGATAATTAAAAACTTATGTTCCCACAAAAATGTTTACGGAAATTTTATTCATAAGAGCCTGAAGTGGAAACAAGCCAGATGTTCATCAGCTTGTGAATGGATCAGCAAATCCTGGCGATTCTTTCGGTGGAACAGCACTCTGCCACAACCCAAGGGCCAGGAACTCCTGCACGAGGCGCACAAGCTCAGAAGCAGTGCGCAGGAGTGAAGCCCGCAAGCCAGCGGTGGTCCAGGGCTGCCCGTAGGCAGGGAACCGCATGCGGAGAGCCGGGAGTCCCACCTTCAAAGGGGTCTCCGGGTCCGCATCTGCAGGAAGACAGGAGGGCGAGGAGACTGGTCACTGCGGGGTGCGGACCCTGAAGCTTGGTCCCGGGAACTGCCGGTCACGCCCCCTTAACGCCGTAGGGCCTGCGGCCAATCGTGGGCGCCCCCGTTGATGCCACCAGCCAATCAAGAGCGGCCAGGTGTGCGCGGGTCGTGTGGGCCTCAGGTGGATGGGGTCCCCCCAGCTGACCGGTGCGCGCTGGCTGCCAGGGTGGTCCTGGAGACCCTGGGGCTGCGCGACCGCGCTCGGCGCTGTCGTGGAGTTCATGGTCATCTGTGAGTGAAGTTCCGCGGGTTGGCGATGTGTTTGGGCATGGCGGTGCATGGCCGCCTCCCGCACCTTCCCGCGGAAGGGCCTGGCTCCTCTGAGCTCCTCTCCCCACTGCCGCACCCACTCCCGCCCCCCGCACGGGGCACAAACTGGGGGAGTCCAGTGTCCAAGAATGATGGGCATTAAAATAGCAAAACACCACGGAAAGAGCTACCCCGAAGAGCCGGGGCTAGCCTGTTAGTCTCCCTACTCCAGCTGCTCGGGAGGTTGTCCTGACTCCAAAAAAAATTCTTAAAAACGGGGGGGGGGGGGGGGGGGGGCAGCTTTTTGCCCTTTAAGGAGTGGCATGCAAATTTCTTAGCCCATCCTTCCTAGGGCAGCAGAGGCTTGAGGAGCGGGGCCCAGTGTACATCAGACCAACAGCGCACCCCTCTGGTCCGGCAGCCCCTGCTCTCAATCCAGTGAACAGGCCAGAAGCGTTTCCCAAGCATGTACTCTTCTCAGAACCCCCAATTGTGCTTCCATTCTAGCCCAGCTCTTTGCTCAGCAGGAGTCCCACAAACTTTACTTTTCTGTCCTTTGCCCTAAAGCAGTCTACTGGCCACACAGGAAAGAAACGGTGGGGTCGACACCCAGCAGGACAGAGCAGAGAAGGAGCCCCAGAGATGAGAGGTTTGGGAGGGATCAGCCCCCAGAGAAGTGGTGAGGCAGAAGCACACGGTGTGGACTCAGAGCAGGTAGGCAGTGACCTGACATACACTCCAGGACACTGAGACTTGGCACATCCCTGGCTGAAGCTCAGCATCACCACCTGTGCCCTGCACCTGTCCCTGAGTCAACAGACCAGAGGTCCCCATCATCATCCTAGAAGAAGAACAAGGAAGAACAGGGCTCAGGTGAAGGCTACAGAATAAGGTGCTCTCAGACTGAGGTTGAGGTGGGCAGGGAGCCCGGAGGACTAGACACCAGGGAATGTGATGCATGGGGACCCCTTTAGAGTTCCAGTTGTGTGTGACGAACAGGCCAGGTCTCTGTCCTTGCTTGGTGGTATGTGCTACACCCTTTGGGAGTCACCCATGTTCCCCTGTACCTAGCAGCACCTCCTCACACTCCCCCACGGCTGGCTCAGAATTCTGGGTTCATCCTTATAGTACTTATGGATTCCAGCTGCAGTCAGACAGTCCTAGGCACCAGGTTACCAAGGTGACAGGCAGAGTCTGCACCCTCCCTGAGCCAGTCCACGCCCTCCCCCCCAGCTGAAAACTAAAGCCTCTCAGGTCACTGAGGATTAGGAGATGGGCTTGGCCAACCATGGCAAAGGTTCATCACCAATTCTCTGCTTCCACATCCCCACTGGCCTTAAAGTTTCAGTGACTCTCCCTGGCCCCACTGTGGACTAGGGGCTCGGTGGGCAGCGGGGCTGCCCTTGCAGAAGCCTTATGGCCATGGAAGTAGCTAGCACACAGCATCTCCTTGGCTATGGGCTCACAGACATAAGTCTACACCTACAGGCAATGATGTGCACATCTACTTCCTACAGCCTGTGGGGCTCAGGCAGAGCCTCTACAGCACAGAGTCAGCATCACAGAAGCAACCAGAGCCTGCTTTGGGAAGCAGCTGGCTTTACCTTCCCAGTGGGTTGCCTCCCCAGGGACCTGCAGCTGAGGGTCCTGGTAAGGAGGATACTGAGGACTGGTAGCCTGGATTGGCTGGAAGAGGACACTGTAGGAGTTCAGAACAGAGAGAAGGCTGGGGTGTTCTCTGCTTTACTTTGGGGTGCATCCCTCTGGCCCTAGCCCCTTGCCTCTCACCTACCATTCTGCCTGATGTCCCACAAACGTCATCCAGTAGGGGATGACCAAAGGGAAGAAAGACCCCCTCACGGCCAGAGCGGTGAGCATGCTGGTACAGGAGAAGAGCACAGGTGCCTAGTTCAACACCACCACGGCCTCCGCCTGGGATGAGTCTCTGTTGTAAGATGGCTGCTGACAGTCACACAGAGGGAGCCCTGAGGACTGTGGCACAGGACAGACACTCCCAGCTGATTACACAGGTCTGGAAGTTGACTGGGCTGTGGAGGAGGCCAGGTCTTGGGGCAGTGAGGACAGCAAAGCTGTGCAGGGAGAGGAGAGCTCACCCCAGAGCCTTCATCTACAGGAGACTGTATGCTGCCCAACCCACGGATAAGCGTCTATCACTGGAACATGGTGGGTCCATCTCATTTGGGAGCCTTGTCCATGAAGAACCCAATGTGGTCAAAGAGACAGACTTACAAGCAGAGAGAGAGGGTGGAGGGGGTGGGCACCTGCCCCACTTTCCTCAGCTGGAAAGTGGGGTGCTGGTGCCTCCCCAGGAGAAGGGAGTAATCTACCCAGTGTGCCTGGAATAATGCCTACCCCTAGGAAGTCCCCAGGGGTGGTGGTCACCATCTCTCGTCTACCAAGAACATACCACAAAGGATTTGGCACCAACAGGAGTGGGACAGGGTGAATCATGGCTCTTGGGACGAGCCAGTTATGTATTCCTTATTGCTTCTGCTAAGGGAGGCTGGCAGGACGGCTTAGGCTGAGAATGGCCATCCTGGGCTGTGGAGGGCCTCCAAGTAGAATTCACCTTTCAATTATGACGGTTTTTCTCCTTTACCTTTCCAGTGTGTTCTAAGACATTTTGCTCTTTAAAGTTTTTACTAGTTTCAGTGATTATCCAATAATAAAATCTTCTTCCCTAATTCAGAGGACTTGGGCACTTTTCTTGAGAAAGAGCTGGATTGGGATAACCTGAGAGAAAGGGAGACTTTTTGCTCGCACAAAATCCAGAATACAAATTTTCATAGTATCTTTATTCATCGTGGCCACAAAGCATAAACAGCTCGAATGTCCTTCAACTGCTGGACACTAAGCAGAATGGGCACCTGTGCCCTGGAGCACAAGCCCCTCCCCAGGTCCTCTCATTAGAGAGACTGCACAGCAAGCCCAGGCCCCACCCTGCCCATCACCCTACTTGCTGATAGGAGTCAGGGAAGACCTGGGCACCATAGACTCAGGGGTGGGGACTGAAGCCAAAGCAGCACACTTGGGAGGTAAGCTGGCTTCTCCTTGGCTGGCTTGGCTGACAGAAGAGAAGGCCAGTGGTCTGCCCTCAGGTGTACCTCCTCATCTGCTGCTGGATCCATGGCACGAAGGATTGGACCCGAGCATAGACCCCAGGAATGTCGTGGAGGGCACAGCCTTTGCCCCAGCTGACCACTCCCACCAAGCTCCAGGAGCCTGTCACCTTGCACACCAGGGGCCCTCCAGAGTCACCCTAGGAGGAAAAGGAGTCACTGGGTATTGGCCCCAAAGGTGAAATGGGGGTGGGCAGGTGGAAAAGGACTCACATAGCAGGCACTGCGGCCCTCACTGCCCGCACACAGCATGTCATCCAAGATGATTCTCTGGTCCCTGTGTTGGTGCCTGCTGGCATTGTGGTACTGTTGCTCGCAGACTGCATTCTCCACCACCTGCACCTCCACCTGCTGCAGGCGGAAGGGTGGGGGCAGAGAGCCTAGGAGAGAAAAGGGGGGCTAGCAGCACAGGTGTGGCTAGACCCTACCCTTGCCTGAGCTGACCTGCCACGGCCACCTCCCCTCAGCATCCCTGGCCTCAGTTCCCTCCTGTCACATACTGTGTGGAGACACAGCTCATAGGGACCATATCCACCTGAACCCTGGCACTCCACACAGGCTCTCTACAGGCCTGCAATTGGGGCACCAGAGAGACAATGAACAATGTGTTCTTCTGGTGTCTCAAAAACACATTTTTTAAGGTTAGAAACTAGAGGAGCAAACATTTCCCCCACTCAGAGCACTGAGCTCTGGGCTCAGGCTTTCCCTGTGCAGGTGCTGAGGCTCCCATGGAGACCTCGGTGGGTGGGAGACGATGGGAGTGCCCTGGGTTCCTCGGCCACTCCCTGGATTCCCTCTGAAGCTGCAACCCAGAAACCCAGCACCACCCGGCCTCCAACAGTTCTCAGAGCAAGTGTAGGTCCCACGCAGAAACCCTTCCAGCCACACCCTCTGTATGTACCAAACATGCTGATGGCGCCCCAGCCAGTCACCCAGCACCGGTCCCTTGGGGTGACACTATCAGACAGGGAGGAGAGCCTGACGGGCTTGATGTTGGCAGAGCACACTGCAGGTTTCACCAGACGCAGCAGGGCCACGTCTGAGCCCAAGAAGGCATTCACATAGTCATGGTGGACAATGACCCGGTTCACACGCAGCAGCTCCGTGTCCCCATAGAGGAAAACATTCCCAGCCTGGACCCGGTAGGCTGATGGGTCAGCATCTTTCCTGGAGTTGGAGAGAAACCATGGAGGCAACTCACTCTAGGTCCCTCGGGGCATTGCAGAAGGCCAGCAGGCCTAGGAAGACAAAGTGGCCCCACATGTGCAGCCCAGCCCTTGCCCATACCCCCTGACTTAGCCCCCCCATCCAACCCAGAGCCGGGCCGAAGGGAGGGGACTCACCGGCCAATGCAGTGGGCAGCAGTCAGCACCCACTGTGGGTGGATGAGGGAGCCCCCACAGATGTGCACCCATGCAGCCCAGTGGTAGCTGTAGACCCTCAAGCTGACCTGCCACGGCCACCTCCCCTGGGGGGCACTGTGGCCACCCACGATGCCCACCAAGTCGTTCTGAGAGACAGGTGCTAGAAGCAACAGGTGAAGGTCAGGGAGCCTGGCACACACAGGCCAAGATCCCCAACTCAGGCCTGAACAGGCCGTGCACACGTCCCCAGATGCTGGGGACAGTGCTCACAGGCTCCTTGAGGAAGGGACAGGGTCAAATGGGTCAGGACTCACCCGGGGTCCCAGCACTGGAGGTCCCCACCAAGAGAAGGGTCACAAACCACAGGCTCAGCATCTGCAGAGGACAGACACAGAGGGTACTGGGCTACCTGAGGCCAGGGGTAGAGCAGGCCAGGGCCAGCCACAGTAGTCTGCAGGGACAGCACCCTACCTTGCCAGGGCTCCTGGGCTCCCTCCTCCCTGGGCCTCTCTATCCTTTATCCTCCAGCCACAGGAAGTGGGCAGGGGGCTTGTCCAGTGCTCTGCTTGGAGGAAGGGCAGAGAGGAAGTGGCATTTGGCCTGAGATGCAAAAGGGGCTGGTGACCCAAACACGGGGTTCTAGGTCCTTGCCAGGGTCTGGGTCAGCCAGAGTCAGGATTACTCGGACCTTACCATGATCTTGGAAGAGTATCCCTAGAGGATGGAGTGGGAGAAGGGCTGGTTGGCTCAGGGTGGTGCTGAAAGAAGGGCCAGCACCTCCTGAGGTTGTTCAGCACCCTGGCAGGGGACAGGTAGGTCAGCAGCCTTCCCCAGACATGGAGGTGCTCACTACCAGGTGGCCAAGCTCCCTGGGCTGGGAGCATCTGGTCACAGGAGCCACGTCCTGGGGAGCTGCTGCTCAGGCTCCTCTGCTGGGCCTCTGTCTTCTGGCACCTCTGTGCCAGGCCAGGCTCTGCTCCTGTCTGGGCTAGTGCAGACCAATCTCTTACCACCAATCTTTCCTGCTGGCCACAGGAAAGCCCAGCAGGTGCACTGCCCGAGGCCGCTTAGGGACAGCCCCACATTCAGGGTCAGTCCTGAGGCCCCCATGCACCATCCCCTGCATACTCCATGACAGACTGGACCTCTCTCTAAGTGGACAGTCCCACTCTGTGGGGAGCCATCAAGCTGGCCACCTCCTCTCTGGCCATCTCACCCAAGCCCTCAGGCCTCTGCACCCAGCAGGAACCAGCTCCTCCTTGCTCCCCCAGGTGACTGGGACAGAGATTCCTGTCCCTCTCATGACTGGCTGGCCCTGAGCTCCAGATGCAGGCAGGCCTCTAGGGTGGCTGGTGATGCAGGTCACAGTGGCTGTAAGTGACAAGGCTTGCAGTGCCTTGGGAACAGGGACAGTTGCAGAGGGGACCGTGGAGATCCACAGCTGGACCAAGGGCCACCTTAGCAGGAGGCAGAGGACTGAAGGCCTAAGGCAGGCAGAGGGCCCTGCACAGGACTGGGTGAACCCGAGAGCCCCTTGACCTGGGCCTGGGGGCTCTGGGTCTTGGCTTGCAGAGACCCAAACTGAGCACGGTAGAACCATGCTGTGTCCAGGCTGGGTCTCTGCTGGAATTGGGGCAATGGAGTCCTGGCATGAAGGAGGTGGGGCCCTGGGGTGTCCAGGGAGGCTGAGCCCCACAGCTATCAGAACCAGCTGGCAAGAGCAGAGGAGGGAGAGGGGCACATGTTGGGGCCTCAGGAGAGGCCTGGAGGGAGCACCCAGCCACCCAGGCCCTCCTAAGGGCAGCTGCCACCAGTGGAGAAGGAAGTGGGGCCAGGGATGTGCCCTTGGTGCCCTCCTGGGACAGTGTGGCCCCCCTACACAGTGACACCAGGGCCATCTCCCTCAGAGAAACACTACACGTCCTGCTTCTATTCCAGGCATGGGGCCTGGGCCACTCAGCATGGAGGGGTCCACCTGCGGCCCCCCACTACTTGATCAAGACAGTGGTTAAGAATCGAGGACTGGGACAGGATATCTGGTCACCCTGATAGGGTCAGGACCAGGCTACCATGAGCACATTCAGCGATAGCATCAGAGAAAGAACCAGGGACCTGGGGGCTCCGGTTGTGTGACTGTTAGGACTGGGGCCAGATGGGCTGTGGCCAGGATGCCTGGGCTCAGGTGAAGGATGTGGCCACCCAGGCAGTGTTGCAAGAGGGCTGCTTGGGCAGAAGGCTGGACAGAGGGATCCCGCACAGGGGCACCAGTGTCTCTGAGCCGAGGGCTCTGAAGGCCCAAGGTCATGGAACCCAGGGAGGAAGGGCCTGGAGCCCAGCCTTGGAGGCCAGTTCAACCCCATCAGGATAAACCAGCTTCCTTGACTGGGGCTGGGGCTTCCCAGGACCCAAGAGACTGTCCCCAGTGTTTCTGGGGTCCTTGGGACCATTTTCTGTGGCACATGGTGTGACAAGTCAGGGTGGGTGTCATCCACTGCCCCTCTGGTGCCCCTCGGATGGAGAGGACAGGCAGGATGCAGGGAGCTGGGGGTGGCTGCAGGTGCTGGAGCTGGCGTAGAGATGCCGCCCAGGCTCTGAGGAGGCCCACCACAGGCTGGTACCAGGGATTGAACCCAGGGACCCTTGGCCACTGAGCCACATCCCCAGCCCTTTTTGTTTTTTAGTTAGAGACAGGGACTCACTGCGTTGCTTAGGGCCTCGCCGCTGCTGTCCTTTTATCATTTTTGGTTTTTTAATTCTTTCATTTTAATTTATTTTTTATTTTCTTTCCAGTGCTGAAGATTGAACTCAGGATCTCACACATGCCAGGCAAATGCTCTACCACTAAGCCACCCCGCTGGCCTAGGTTTTGTGCTCTTTTTAAAACAATCTAGGGATGTAATTCAGCTTTGCATTGCTTGCCTACCATGCGCAAGGTCTTGGGTCTGATCCCCAACACTGAAAACAAACCAAAAAAATTATTTTTTGTTTACATGAAAACGAAGATAATTCATAATATCCCCCTGTAATGTTTTTTGTTTGTTTGTTTGTTTGTTTTTGTTTTTGTTTTTGTTTCCTTTTACAAAATAAGACCTTCAGTGTGGGAAGCACTGGCGAGTGACACTGGCCAAACTCCATCTTCCTAGTGTGTCATGTACAAATATGTAACAACAAATCCCACCAACACGTAAAACTGCAATGCACCGATAAAAAAGAGTAACTCTCAAAAAAACAAGAAGTTCCGCAGGACTGGAGCCTGTGGCAGTGGGTGGCAGGAGGCCCGTGAGGCTGTTTGTCTTCCACCCAGCTAAGCTCTCTGCAGTGCTGCTGGGGAGATGTGCCACCTTCATAGGCCCGAGCGCTGTTCCTCTAGGAATTGCTGCTGGGTGGGCTGCCTTCCTGAAAGCCTTCCTCCAGATCAACCTGGGTATTGGGGCCTCTACCTCAGAGCCAAGGGCACTGGGAGTTGTGCTTTCCACTTCAAACTGACTTGAGCGCGGTCTTGAGTTTACTTCCACAGCTGGCCCAACTAGCCCAACAGCACAGATGGAAACAGGGCTGGAAACAGGGCTCATACAGAGAGGCTGTTTCTGCTGGTGAGGCTGCAGAGCAGGATTGAGAGGACAGATGCTCATTTCCATGTGAGCAGATAGGTTCGATTTCTCTTTTTTTCTTCTTTCTATTGAGGATTGAACCCAGGGGTTCTCTGAGCTAAAGCCCCAGGCCTTTTTATTTTTTAAATTTTGAGACATAGTCTTGCTAAATTGCTCTGGCTGGCCTAGAGATTGCAATAATCCTCCTGCCTCAGCGTCCTGGGTCACTGGGATTACAGGTGTGCACCACTGTACCTGGCCATACATTTTATTTTTTATGACATATATAAAATTTATAGATCTTATAATGTACAATTTACAAATGTAAATTTTACAGATTTGAGTGAGCAAAAGCAACTTTCTTTAAAAAATAGGGGAACAAATTCCATTGGTGATGACATTGTAACCAGAGTCATGTAACCCTGTGATTGGTTATAATCCCGGTAGTCACAACAGACATGCCATGTGCTCCTTGATCTCCATTCCTCAGCCTGTGAGAGGGCTGTGAGTATAGGCAACCATGCAGTATAAACTGTAGTCCTTGCCTCATGACCTCTTCCTGTCCAGAAGACAGTCCAGTGTTCTCTATATAACCTTAGCAGGACTGAGCCTGTGGCAGAAAAAAAGAAACATCGGCTAGGGATGTAGGTCAGTAGTAGGATGTTTGTCCAGCATGCTGGAATCCTTGGGTTTGATCCCCAGTACACAAAAAATAACAAGGAGATGCAGAGCAGGGCCAGCCAAGCATTTTTAATTCCTAAAGTTTTCATGCCAACCAAATACAATTTATTCAAAAATTCTCTTATCAAATTGAGTCTTATAACCAAAGATTAATTCTCTTTTTTAAAAAATATGAACTAATTGTTTTTTGTTTGTTTGTTTATAGTTGTAAATGGACAGCATGCCTTTATTTGTTTAGTTTTTTTATGCAGTGCTAAGGATCAAACATAGTGCCTCATACATGCTAGGCAAGCGCTCTGCCACTGAGCCCCAGCCCCAGCCAGATTAATTCTCTTTTAATCAACAGTTTGGTGTAACAGTCTACTTGCACAAAACTGCCCTAAACACGTAAAGACTCAGCTGTCACACTTTAGGAATAATCGGTAGCGATCCCTAATATCGGTAGCCCAGGACACTGAGTCTCCCTGTCCATGGCCACCCACATGGGGCATAGTTAGGCCAAGTTGGCTGGCTGGCTGGCTCCTCTGTGAACCCTCGCCTGCTCTGCCAGACTTTTTTCCAGGTGGCATGCAGTCTCCTGGTTGGGAAAGCACTGTCAGTCCCTCTGCAGTGTCCCAGGCACCCTGGGAGGTCTAGGAAGACTGCTGCTTGGTCCCGGGCAAGGACAACCTGGCCCCTTCCTGGCCTGGCCTACACCTTCCCCTGGTTTCTCAGCTGGCCTATAGCTCCAGATCACCTGCCCCACATAGGGCAGAGGCAAGGAGGTGGCAGGCCCTGAGGGTCCCTGGCCCAGAGGAAGGGCTACCTGCATTTCACCATTAAGTGGAACGTTTGCTGCAGGCTTTGGTGACATCCTGCGAATTTGTCAAGGCCTTATCTTTATCCAAATATGTGGTTGAATGTGTCAACCAAAATATTCCAATCCTTTTCCTCATCTATTGGGTATATCCTATGCCATTTGCCTCTGCTCTTTCCCTTGGTAAATTGCACAATCAGTTCTCTCCTGTAAACCCCATGGTTGGGATCCTGATGGCACTCAGGTGGCCCAGTTGATTCAGAATGCCACCTGCACTCACCAGTGGTTTCCCGGAAGCCTCCAACCCAGCCCCAGGGTGTCTCCTATGCTGGGCTTGGGGCTGGCAGCTGGGCAGCAGATGAAGCTCTCTCCCTTGGGGCTGGGAGGTTCCCAGGTCAGAGGTGCCCAATGAGGGAAGCATAGAGGACCTTGCTGGAGCCGTCCCTCCCCAGAGACCAGCAGGAGGCCCCAGGTTATGAAGGGACAGGAGGGACACAGAGGTGAGCCCCCACAGCTAGGCAAGGGCAGAGCACAGGCGGTGGCATCTTCAGTGGGGCTCAGCCATCCCTCAGCCCTCTGCTTGCCCCCACTCCACTGACCCTCGCACCCTAGGAGGGGTGGACAGCGAGTCACTCCTGCTGCTCAGGCAGTAGCCAGTGCCCTCAGGGGCCAATGCAGGGTCCCCACATATGTTCCCACTGGCAGTGATCTTTGTCCAAGATCCTGACCTGTCAGGGCCACTCTCCTGAAGGTCAAGACCCCACGATGCCCACAAACCCCAACACTGGGCCCTGCCCAGAGCTCACCACTGACAGCTGCCCTGGTGCCTCCCAGGACCCAGGGTGAGCCTGCCAGCCACATGTGGGGTCACCACTCCTCCCAAACCAGTGCAGGCCTGGAGATGGGGACAGGTCCCAGGACAGCGGGAACATTGAATGGGGCCAGGACCCACAGGCACGGAACCCCAGGTGCAGGAGAGACAAGGACACAGTGCAAGTGGGGCCTGGTACCAGCCCTGGAAGCCTGGACAGCGGCATCCTCCACACAGGAGAACCAACAACCCCAGCCCCAGAGAGCCCCAGGGCCCAGATGAGCCACGTGGAGCCCAGAACACCAGAGGACGTAGGAAACAGGGCCCCACAGCGAGAGAGCCAGGTCTGTGTGAGCCGGAGTCAGGGACCCACTTCCTACACTCTTCCTGCCTCTCCAGGGCCACTAGACAACTGCCCTTGGAAGAAGAGGACTTCCTGTCCCTTCAGCTGTCTCCTGGGGCCTAGGCAGCAAGGGATGGTGAGATGTGAGGTGGGGGCCTACGGTTTGGAAATAAGCTTGGGCAGGTCTGCTCCTCAGAGCCCCAGTGGGCTCCACGGCTCTGGGGACAGGTCCTTGCCAGACACTGAAAAGGAGCTGAGGAACAAGGGCACTGCTGGCTGGCACCAGGATTCCTTGGTGGCCCTGCCTCCCCTGGCATCCCATTCTTGCCATCCTGGGCCCTCGCCCAACTGTGAATACCTCCACCCCCACCCCAGGAATCCTGCACACAAGGCTCCCCCATTGGCCATGTCAAGTCACTGACCCACAAGCCAGAAAGTCCCCACAGGGGGATTCCCCAGACTTAGCACCAGCATTCAGTACCATTCTGCAGCAGACCCTGCCTCCAGGGCAAGAGCCTTGGACACCCATGTGTCAAGTCCAAGGGTCCAGGAGGCCCAGACCTAATTGTGGACTCAGGTGCTCAGCAGCTTCTAGGGACATGTGTCTAGTTTTGCAACCTTAGAAGAGCTGGGCCCAGACACAGTGGCATGGGCCTGCCATCCTGGGAGGCTCAGGCAGGAAGATCACAAGTTCAAGGCCAGACTCTGTCCCAAATTAAAATTTAAAAATAAAAAGGACTGGAAATGTAGCTCAGTGGTAGAGTGCTTGCCGAATATGTGCAAGGTCCTAGGTTCAATCCCCAGCACCACAAAAAGAAGAAAAAGACGTTGGGGGGGGGGGGTGAAATGAAAACTGTGGACTTTTTAAAGTTTATTTGTTTTTTTAGCAGCTTTATTGAGATAAGACTCACACCATCCACCCACTTAGTGTGTAGTGCGATGGGTTTCAGCACATTCGCAGGGCTGTGCAGCATCTCCAGGGCTGATTTTATAGCATTCACCCCCCCCCCCAAAAAAATGCCTGTGCCCTCCAACCCCCCACTAATCCCTACCCCTGGCAGCCACCCTCACTGTCTCTGTGGGCTTTTGAGCATTGCCCCACAAGGTCTTCTGAGACCCACTTCACTCACTTGCTTGCTGGAGATCTGTGGGCTTTTACCTGCGTGGTCCCCTCCCAGTCCCAGGAAGTAGGGGAGGTCCCCCAACCTGAAAGCCAACTCCCAAGCTTGAAGTCACCTCCTGGCTGAGGCTGTCCCAACCCCTGCTGGTCTCAGTGGCTTCCTAACTCTGGGTCAGGGTCCAGGTGTCCAAGGACATTCTAGCGAGGGCCACTTCCTGGCTCATAGACAGCACCTTCTCCTCCCATGGCCTTTAACGAGCTTCCTGAGGTCCCTGTTACGAGGGCACTAATTCCCTCTCTCCCTCCCCAGTGCCACCACACTGGGACTAGGGCTTCAGAATTCACTATGAACTTTGCAGGACTCAGCCATCAACCATGGGAGAGGGTTCCTCCCAGATGTCACTGGGGACCCGACCCTCCCACTGAATTCAGCTAGATGCTGCCCAATGCAGACTCTGGGTAGGAGGTTGTAGAGTACCACAGTGAAGTCAGCATTCCCATCTTTAGAACTGGAATGGCCGCTTGGGTATCTTGACACCACTGGGTAGGGATTGCAGTGCCGGGTCGGGTAGGTCCTCCAAAGCCAAGCTCTGCCCAAACAGCCAAGTGGATGTGCAGCCCAGGACTGTTCCCACTGTGGGTCTGCCTCCCTTTGAAGGCCAAGGATCACAAGGTGAATTGAGGCTATCAGAGCCTTCCTCTTGCCAGCATTGTGGCCTTGGGAACACTGACCAAGGACGGCCACTCTGCTGGCTCATCATTGTCCACCTCTGGGCTCCAAGTCCAAACAGAGATCACTTAGACAATGCACATTTTAATGGGAGACAGGGTGAGCAGGAGGCCTGGGTCCTGCCACCCATCCACACCCATCACACTTTAAGAGACACCAGCTCAGAGCCCCTCTCTCCCGGGATTCAGGGAAGTCCAGGAAACTCTGGGCCAGGAGGGCAGGGGTCTCAGTGCTGAGAAGAGTGAGGAAGTTAGGGAGAATGTAGAACTGGGGAGAAGCAGGGGCATCACAAGGAAGACGGGGGTTGCCACCATCGTATAGCCCTGTCCTGGCCTGTCTAGCATCCAGGAAACTGGGGGACATGGTGATGGATCCAGGACACGTAGCTCATCACGCGGGTGTAAACCCCAGGTAGGTCGGCATGACCACAGCTGTGGCCCCAGCTCACCACCCCAACCTGGATCCAAGTGCAGTTCCACAAGCAAACGAGGGGTCCTCCAGAGTCACCCTGTGGAGACGCCAGACTCAGTACCTCCAAGATCCCCTGCCTGGAGTGCCTGGGTCCCCACTTCATTGACCACTTGAGGACAGAGACAGGGTGGGTGAGCCTCACCTCACAGGAGTCCCGGCCCCTGCTGCCTGCACACAGCATGTCCTCCTTGATGACCCTCTCAGAGATGTCTGGGAAGGACATGTTCTGGTACTTCCGGTCACATTCCTGGCTCTCCACTATGGGGACCTCCACCTCCTGCAGGTGGTAGGGCTCAGGCAGTGGTGCTGTGGGGAGGAGCCAGGTGAGCACCTGGGGCTGGGGGCTCCCACCTCACCCCAGCAATGGAGATAGAATGGACACAGGCCTCCCTGATACCCACTGTAGTCCTTGATGTTGCCCCAGCCAGTCACCCAGCATCGCTTCCTCGAGGAGACCCTCAGGGAGGCATCCGGGAGGATGACGGGGTGCACCTGCTCAGACAGAGCCATGGGGACCTCCAGCCGCAGCAGGGCGATGTCCCCACCTCCACTGACAGACAGGCTCTCATTGTACTTGGGGTGGCGGACAATCTCAGCCACCTTTGCCAGCTGGTCATCTTCATAGAGCCTCAGCTGCCCCACCTGCACCCTGAAAGCACAAGCCTCCAGCTCCCCCCTGGGAGAGGGGAGCAGGAGCCCCTCAGGGTGGCTGGCCAGGCCCTCAGGGAGGCCAAGCTCTGCAGCAGCCCAGGAATCTGGCCACACCTTCGGGGCCAAGGCTTCCCTGCAGCCCAGGGAGGGGCCCCAGAAATCCTGCCTCCCACCCCTGGCCCCTTGGCCCCCTCCTGGTGCCCACCTGCACCCAGCAAAAGAAATGGGTGGGGCTCACTCACGGCTCAACACAGTGGGCAGCTGTCAGCACCCACTGAGGGTGGATGAGGGAGCCTCCGCAGACATGCTCCCACAGTCTCCTCCTTATGTTGTAGAACCTCAAGCTGACCTGCCACGGGAACCTCCTGGTTGAGACAGGGCAGCCCCCCACGATGCCCACCAGCTCCAGTCCTGGGCGGGGGTCTGGGGAGGCACGTGGAGGGGCTGTCAGGGACCAGACAAGGGTCTCTCCAGGGCTCAGGAGGCAGCAAGGCTCCTGGCGAGTGAATGATGCCCACACAACCCCAGGAATGGTCCTGTGAGCCCTGGGGGTGGGGACAGGTCCTGGGGCAGGAAGGCACGGAGTAGGGTGGGATTAGGACTCACCAGGGGTCAGGGGAGTGGAGCCCCCCAGGCAGGGGAGAACCAGGAGCAGCAGCCACAGCATCCTAGGGACCAGAGAGCTCCTGGGCCAGGAGTATTGAGGATGGACTGGGATGGCTGGGGCGGTCCTGCTCCCTCCTTGGGTGTCCCCTCAGGCCCCATTTATCCCTCTGCCACAGGATGTGGGCACTGGCACACCAGCCCTGTGGGGGAGGGGGCTGGGGGAGTGCTGTGGCCAAGCACTTCTCCAGAAGCTGGGGCCAGGTGGGGCAAGCCCTGGCATATGCCCTGCTCCCCTTGTAGCTGAAGGACACAGACCACAAGTGTG